GGGAACAGACTGAGTATAGGAATGAGAAAGGAGAAAAGATGAACGGGGTTTAAGGAAATGGCGATTGACGTTGCATTTAAATAGTTGAAGATTTGACTTATCGGATCTCTCAGTTATTTCCCTTTAACTCAACTCTCCAAGTTTATTTTTTTTTTTTTAGTTCACCAATGCTGTAGCTTGGTATGGAAGTCACAACTCATCCGGATGAGGCATGGCATGCAGAACTAGAACAATGTACCCCGGTAGACGAGATAAAGGTTTCGGTTCGAAATTCCAATCAACGTACAGCGACCGAAACGTTGTGAGTATGTCATTGAAGATGAGTTTAACCTGCCTGAATAATACAAATAATGTAACTAATCATAATACCTCATGTCAGAGATATGGACAGGTATAAGTGGATGTTAAGAATAATTCCATAAACATAAGGCCACGTTTGGTACCCATTAAATAATCTTTTATTTAGCGTAGCTTATTCTGAGCTCAACAAGCGTGTGGGTCTCACTGAAGGTCAAACAAACTACACTAAGTTGTTTTGGTTTGTTTTGAGGCATATCAACCACAAAGGGTTATATAATACCGACAATTTTTATTGCTGGTAATATTTTCCTTCAAAAATGTATTGCTGGTAATATTTTCTTTTCTTCCAGAATGTATTTCTGGTAATGGTTTATTTTTTATTTTTTTTATTTTCAAAAAATCTATATCTGGTAATATTTTTCCTCCAAAAATGTATAGCTGGTAATATTTTTTCAAAAATGTATTGCTGGTAATAATGTATTGCTGGTAATAATTTTGACAAAGTGTTTCTGGTATTAAAAACTATTTTTACACATATTGTTTTGCCCCCAGTTTGGTAAAGAACTATTAGGTTGGTGTAAAATAATGACGTAATAATGTCGTTTTTGACCTTAAAAATACGTCCAAAAACGACATTATGACGTCATTATTTTTGCACCAACCTAATATTTACCCATAGCTGGGGTCCTAACAGGTGATACCACCCCGGGTCAGGGTGGACCTGTGAACATCAGCAATTAATCGGTGGTTCCACGCTCCACAAAACCTCCTGATCAGCGGCCTTGCTGTTGGACATAGTTTATCGTCTTACCCATGACGTGGATGTAGTTTACCGTCATACCCAGGACGGCAAACGACGCTAAGCGATTTACTTACCACAGGTGTTGCTAAACATAACACTACGTTCGCACGTCTACGTCTACACAGACAAGGGCCTTGCTGCTTAGAACGTTTAGTGACCAAGGATGGCTGATCCACGGGAGATGGATCCAGTTTGTTTATGAACTTGAATTCGAAGGGTTTTTCAGATAAGCTCTCAAACTCTGAGTAACTATTGTTTGTAGTTTGTAACACGAGTAGGGCTTGTCTTTTTAATTTTGTGTCAGATGGTAAATTTCCTCGTTCAAATTCAATATGTCTGAAAGAGACATGGGAATGTCAGAATTGAGCGCATGCTGCGTAACATGATGTTATTTCTTGGTTTGTTGATTGTAGTGTCTGTTCTTATCAGCTTAATCTGATCCCCAATCTCTCTCTCCACTTCTACGTTTTCTTCTTTCTTTCATTTTTCACTGAAACCCAATAATGTCCTTTCCCTTCTTTACACGCGATCTAAACGCGAACAGTCCATTATTTATGAGGCATTGACAGGAAGTAACGATTGTGCTAACTAACGAGTGGAGGGACAAGCACATATATTATGGGATAATGGTGGAGGCACTTCGACGTGGCGTAATGGTTAGCAATGTTGCATCGCTCGATCAATTAGAACTGAATATTGAGTTTGCTCCTCACTGGGTATCCCACACATTCGAACTTGTGCCACATCTAAGCTACGCTTCGGAAACCATTTAAGTACTCCGACGTGGTGTAATGGTTAGCAAGCTTGTCTCGCTAGTTCAATTACAATTGAAAAGTATGTTCGATCCTCACTGAGTGCACCCTAAATCTTTAGGTCATGTACCACATCTAAACTACGCTTAGAAAATCATTTAAGTACTCCGAAGTGGTGTAATGTTTAGCAAGCTTGGCTCGCTCGGTCAATTAAAATTTGAAAAATGAGTTCGATCTTCACTGGGTGCCCCCCAAACATTGGGGCTTGTGCCACATCTGAGCTATAATTAGTAAATCACCCATCCTAATACGTTTGGGCCATTAAACATTATGTAATTGTTAGTAAGCTTGTCTCGCTAGAACAATTACCACAGGGTAGTGAGTTCGTTCCTCGCACGATGCCCTACACTTTTGGCCTTGTGTCACATCTAAACTACACTTAGAAAATCGCCATATTATAGGATATTATAAATATATACGTGTGTGGATTCTCTCGTCGGGCACGATGATTTTGTATATTTTTTACTTTTTACTGAATAACCTGCACAGGTGAATTGTTTAAACGGGTTCTCGTAGTATCGCCGAAGTTAAACAACGTCCTGCCTGGTCAGTCCTTAGATGTGTCACCGCTTGGAAAAACCGGGTGCTGTTGCGTAATGGATAATGGCTTCGAAATGTTAATCGGTAAGCCGAGTTCCTCTTTCTTCCCTTTGACATCGCCATAGTCATTTATGCGTAGATGCTCTTGGGGAAGATATAATTCCATTTCTTCTCTCCTGTAGCTGTGAGTCAATTATTAAGATTTTATCACTAAAATTCTTATTATCTCAAAAAAAAAAAATATTACAAGCTAAAAATAATTTCTGGCTTTAAATAACCTGTAAACGATCGATAAACCGTAGAACACGAATAAATCAATGATTAAAGTGGTCAACTGAACAGTCTTTCCGTCATTGCGCCATATCCTGCAGAGGGACACTGCTCCACATGTCAGATGAAGCTTCAGTCAATTGCATTCTTAACAGGATTTTCAACCTCGGAGCTGCATGTTGGTCCTTTGTTCACCTTCTCTTTGTACATTTCTAAAACCTTAAGGATCCAAGAGAATGTCACGCTATCAAAGGCATTACGGTAATCTAGCCAAGTTGTTCTGAGATTTCTATTTTTCGCGCAGTTTTCCAGGATCATTTTATTTATTAGTAGTTGAACTTTGGATTATATGAACCTCTATGACATCCCTTTTATCCTAGGGGAAGAATTTTGTTTTCATCGCGAAATGTGTCAGTCCATAGATGTGATCAATGTATATATGGTGGACAGATATGTTGTTGGCCTTTGATTTTTTTTGGATCATCTGTTTCATTTATTTTTGTTAGGAGATATGTAATAGCTTCAGTGATCCATTCTGGAATTTTATTGCGGTTATTAATTAGCATCGATAAAGTGTGTACAAGTGTTTTATGAATTGATGACAGATGATAGAGACAAAAGTTGGGTACCTTGTCATTTCTTGGGGATTTCTATTTTGGGAATTTCGTTAGAGCTTGCCTAGCATTATTCCCGGTTATATTTTCCATTATTGCACAGGTTTATTCTTCATTCCTTCTCGTTCTCGTTTGTCCCACTCATTATTAGGATAAGATTCCTTTGGGTTGCACCAAATATTCTCCCAACATCATTGCACTCCTTCACTAGATGATGGCTCTTTGACTTCTCTAGCTGCTTTTCAAATTTCCATGTAAAACTTCTTAAGGTCTATTTGCAATACCTTATTTTGTCGATAGAACCTACAAAGCTTTTTATGTCATCTTTTTCTTTGTGCCTTTGATTGCAGTTTTGGTTTAAATATTTCCTTGATTAGTGAAATTTAATTTACTGCTTTAATTTTATATTTCTGTTTGAGTTTCTTGCTTCTTCTTGATCTTCTTCTTTTTCTTCTTCTTCTTCTTCTTCTTATTATTATTATCATTATTATTATTAGTAGTAGTAATATCAGAAGTAGTAGTGGTAGTAGTATTTAGTATCTCTAGCACTATAATTACAAACGTTATCACCAGAAATATCCAGGTCGATCTTTTTTTAGTGAAATATTATCTTTTGTGTTGTTGTATGAAAAGCTAGCGAGATCGATAATGAATAAAGAATTCCTTATTCTGTCATAGCCATTATCATTTTATTAGAAATTTTCTCTGCGATTCTCGCTTTGTAAAGATCAATCTCTGTGATTAATGGAGAAGCATTGTATAAAGATCGTTGACAAGGAATTTATTTTGAAACAAATATTGGTTGCGTAAAATGAATGCTTTTCCCAAATTTGTACTAAAGGCTTACTGACTTATATATATATATATATAACTAAAGACTAAAGACTTACTGACTTTATATATATATATATATATATATATATATATATATATATATATATGTGTGTGTGTGTGTGTGTGTGTGTGTGGCTGGAAAGAAAGTGGTTAATATACGGTTCGACAGTCAGTTATGTTCCATACGTGATACACGCTTAGTCGATCATGTATTTTTCGATACGTGACTGACGAAGCAGATTTTTCCCGCAGTTGGTTGCCATTTCTTTCTGCGGTATACCATGTGACATCCAATGCTATAGAACCCGGTCTACTTACGCAGAGCTGAAGAGGATTCTTTGCCAAGTGTATTAGCACATAATTAAATGTAATGGATTCAACTGGGATTCGAACACGGCTCCGATTCCTCAATCCGTGCCGCTATCCATTACACCGTCGTGCCTCCTCGTTGCTACTGGTACTATTAACCTAACATTTCCTGCTGAATAGATGAATAATCAGCGGTTAAACCGGTTCCCACACCAGGCTTTTCTGTTGTAGAGGGTGGCTATACACTCAACATAATTAGAAACAAAGTCTTGTCAAATCACGAGTGTAACTTTTTTGTTGGAGTCAATGGCAATTTGCACAGAAAATGCCCACTGGAAGTGGGAGAGCGCTAGCCTTTGTTGGGATATCTCTCTGGGGGAAGGAAAACATATGTAAAAAACAATCAAATTCCGACTTAATGGCAGCTAAAGATACTTATTAGTTCCACTTTTCGGGTACTTGTCATCGTTTGTTCAGATTGGTCATGCACAAAGCCTCTCCTCACTTCAAGCAAAGATATCACCCTTCCTCTTCCTCCTCCTCCTCATCATCATCATGATCTTTAAGAGCTTTAATGATGGCTGTACTGGAGAATGAGCAAGCCACCATCATGAATATATGGAGGTGCAGAGAGAGAGAGAGAGAGAGCCAGGGAGAGAGAGAGAGAGAGAGCTTGAGAGAGAAAAATACAACCGTTACATCAGTTCGTTCTTCTTCGTAAAATGAGTCATCAAAGAAACTTCGCCTTTTCGCATAAGTTCGCATCCTGACCTTGGCGAATATTTATCATGATCTCGTTGTCAGAAATCTATGATTTTCTTTCCGATAGAGAAACGTTGATAGCTTTTGGAGTCTTATCGATAACGCAGACACCCATTGGAAATGTGATAATTCCAACAACTTCAACTTTTTCTCTATTTTTGCAAAATCATTTTTAAAACTAATATTAGAAATTTAAAAACAAAACAAAATGTTATTCGATGAACAGCGACAGTGTCAGAGATTGAAGCAAAAGTTCATTTTTCCTTTATAAGACAAAAAAGTAACACATCAAAACTCTAGGCCATTAATTCATTTGAAAGTTAGTTTATTCGATGGATAAGATAATGGCGTATTTACAAGTTACTTGTCAGAGGTCAAAATTAGAAACAAGATAACAACTGGGGTTTTTATGCTTATTTTTAATCTGATATACACGAGCTAACCTTTTGGAAATAAGTAACAGCAAAATATTTCTATAGCAATTTTATTTAAACTGTACTTTGCTTCCTTAGAGTAAATAATAAAAATCAAGCATTATCTTATCTGTGACATGGAAATCCAAAGGTGCATTGTAATATTAAAAATTGCGTTACAAATTTAAACAAAGTTTGAACTGACTGATTAATTTGATTTTTATGGTTTATTAATTTTTGAGGGTTATTTAAAGCCATAAAATATTTTAAATCGCAAGAATATTTTGGTGATTTCTGATACAAGTTCTACGAATTAGCCCACAGGCCGAGGAGAAAGGTAGAGCCATACTTTTTCCCAATTATATTTCCACTTAAATGAATATAATGAACCCGACTAGAATTAAAACTTGATTGTCCGATCTCTAATTTCGAGCTGTTATCAATTTACTCCACCAGCACATCCAAGCTTACAGCACCTGCTATTAACTAGTGGTCACCCATGTAGGTACTAGCCAGGTTCGACGTTGCTTAACTTCGGTGATCGTAGGGGGGACCGGTGTTTCATCGTGGTGTGGCCGTAAAACTCCTGCAAAAACGAATGTTGTATTCTCGCTGCCTGATGTTCATAAACGTTGAGCAACGGTGTGTCACGTATTGCAGCATTTATTTTTTTAGCTATTTAACTACTGGCCAGGCTCAACGTTGCTTAACCTTGGTGATCGTACGAGAACAGGTGTTTTATCATGATAAAGCCGTAAGCTCAAAGTATTATGTAACCGGAAAATGTCGTTAGAAAGAAAGAAAGAAAGAAAGAAAGAAAGAAAGAAAGAAAGAAAAGCGTTCTGACTTACCGTGTGATAGCAATCATCTTATATGGCAGTGAATGCAGGACAATTACCTCAGAGATGAAGAGAAGTATTGAGGCAATAGAAATGCTGTTCTAAAGAAGGAGGCTGGTCGGTGCGCGTGAGTGAGGAGAAAGCTTTAAAGAAAACGAGGGTAAAAAAAATCGCTTGTACATAGAATCAGAGAGAAAATAATTTAGCTTTTGAAACACATCATGATGACAAAAACCTGAATGACGGTAATCTCTAGCTTGTAATACTCAATAACTCCAAATTCAAACTGAAAACGTTTCATTATCACCTGAGAAATCGGGGAGACGATTTCGAATTCCAGTCCGGTTAGCTTAGGTGCAAATACCCTTGGGAAAATTATAAACCTCTCTTTCCCCAGCTATAGGTTAAATACTAGGACTTGCATCTGCAAAATGCATCGATATACCCGGAAAATTGTTAACAAAACATCCATTCGCAAAAAGATATAATCCTTACTGTCCAAAAAATAATCCACAAAAAGTGTTGAAAGCCATACAAAATAATCTCCGTCTACTGGCCTTCTTTCTGTCTATATATATTGTTGTGGTAGGATCCACCTAATTTGCATAGTGGAGTACCGACCATATAAATATGGTTGGTACCGGGAAGAGAGGGAGGAATCAAGAGATTCAACCAGAGACTCTGCCCGACTGCGACTCAGTCAACACATTCTCCGGGAACGGTCTTACCAGGAATATGCAAAAGACTATATGTAAATATTGTGTACACTTTCTTGTTTCAATACATTATTATTCCATGCATTAGTCAAGTTTCAACATATATATATATATATATATATATATATATATATATATATATATATATATATAAAAATGACTCATTGTTACTATTATACATTGATATATTCCAACAAATTTTCTTGTTTTTGTTGTGTCCTGCATAACGATGAACTATATCCGGCAGCATTGAGAGGTTTTAAGGAGCATGGAATCATGTCTTAATTGCTGTTGTTCCCAGATCCACCCTAACCCAGAGTGGTAACACCTGTTAGGGTATCGGCTATAGGGTAATAGGGAACACCTAAACTGAGGTCAAAACACCATTTCTTATAATAAAAATTACCAGTAATAGATTTTAATAGTAAAGAAAACTGAAACAATAGATTTTAATAGCAAAAACAAAATCCAGCAATAGATTTGAATATTATAAAAAAGAAAAAATACCAAAGCTGCCAAAGAAATTAAATTTCGGCATTAAATGACACATAAGGAGTTGATATAACGCTAAATAAACCAAACTTATTTTTGTTACTATTTTAATGGATCGACTGATATTTAATCTTTCCAATGGCTTCTGTTACGTTCGATAACTTCCTAAAAAGTTTAAAGAAAAACTTTATTTCTTGCATTTTTTAAAAATTATTTTAGTATATTTGTTTTGTTTTTCACATTCTGTTTCTTTCACGCACGTTATCGTTCCGACGGAATTTTGATTCGTCAATTCACGAGTTATGGCACGAATCATTAACTCCGTCAACTTTTCTCTAATGTCAAAGAAATCATTAAAAATATTGTTGAAATTTTCTCAGTCCTTTACTACCGTTATTTGACATGTGATCATAAATGTGTCCTGTTATACTCAACGGTGCCTTTGAATAAACAGTGAAAGCAGATGAGTTGAATATATAGAGGCACCAAATCATGGGAAGTTGAATAAGAAAAATGGACTAAGAGGTCAGGTCTCATCAATTTACAGTTGAATTGGCTAGATCAAACTGTAAGTTCTATGCTAACAGTTTCTTTTCTCGCACTTTGTGGAACTATCTACCGGTTTCATGGTGTCCTGCCAACTTTAACATTGAAAAATTTAGATTTTTGGATATATTTAATATGTTAGAATTTTAACATAAATAAAATATAATAAAATTATCTCTATCTATAAAAGGCAGGATGTGTGTGTGTGCGTAACGAATGCACGGCCGCAATTTTCGACGGATTTGCACCAAAATTTACATGCACATGCTCCAAGTTAGCGGGAAGGCCAAGACCGACTTTGCATTTCCCAACTTCCACCGATAGTGGGAATAATCGATTTTTTCATGTTTCTACGGCAGTTTTCATGTAGTTTGCGGCCATTTCGTACTGGCCAGCGTGAGAGCCAACAGCTGACTGACACGAATGTTAACTAGCATGCTAGCATGCAAAAAAAATCGATAGCTGCATTCGTCACAAGTGGGAAAAATTTAAGTCTGCATGGCACTTTAATCCAAATGGCTCATTCGCTTGCTTAAACTCGTTGATTCTGATTCCGCAGAACTGGATTGGGTGTGAAAAAGTATTTGTTGTTAACATTCTTTTTTCATTCGGTTTTTTCAGTTACGAGTCCTTTTTTAAAGCTGATCGTTTTGTGTTCATTTTGTTTAGTTCTTTTTTCGTAACAGATTTAATGTTTAGTATAGAGCTTAGAAAAAATTTGCAGTATGAGATAGGCAAGAAGTAAGGCATGTAGCAACATCAGCATGGCAAAGGGCACTCCTTTAAAGGCAAGGTAGGGCAAAAATATTTTAAGTCAAGTGATAGCGATTGCTGTATGAGTCGTACGATTTTTGAATCAAGCACGGGCAACGCCGGGCCATGCTGCTAGTAAACCTATATTTTGCATAATATTCTTTTTATGCAGAATTCTATTACCAGGGTCGGCCGATGATTGTTGCCCTCCCCACACCGAAACTTCGATACGGGGCCACCCTCTCTACTTCCTGTCTATTTCGAAGTTTCCCAACATGGAGACCACAATTCCTCTATGGAAGGCGGACAGTGTTTTTTTGTTTTTTTATTACAAAAAATCAGTGTATTACCCAATTCAAATGAAAATTCCAGCATATACTCATTAATTCAGTTATGGGCCATGCGTGATACAGTGTTAAGTGATCATGTATCTTTCGATACATGACTGACGAGGCTGATTTTTTTCCCGCAGTAGGTTGCCATTTCTTTCTGCGATAGACCAGTTGCCATCCAAGGCTATAGAACACGGTCTGTTCTCTTCTATAAATCCTCTTCTTCTCTCCCCATAGCTGGTGGGGAAAAAAGAAGAGAATTCATACCTTTCATTCATACCTTTCACAAAGGTATTAGCACGTAAGTGAATGTAATTGATTTGATTAGAATTCGAACTCGGCTCTCTGATACCTCAATACGAGCCGCTATCCATTGGACCTCCCACATTAATTGTTTACTTTTAAAATGAATATTTTTTTTATTTAACAACATCTGAGAAAATGTTATTCTTTTTGTAATAACCACCAATATTTTCATAACCAAATTTTACTCGAAAAAATGTTTAAGTCGCCATTTTTTACATTTCCATAAAGATTAATCGCCGACGCATCTCCATTGAAGAAAAAAAAGTTTTACAAAGATTCCAACACAACACAAACGGGATTGTCTGAAAAATTTGTTTTAAAAACAGTATTTCAATTTTCGTGAAAAGTTTTCATGTTTAAACATTTTTAATTTTTAAGCAATCATTTTCTCGGTTTTATCTTTCTAGAGATGTAAAAAAATAGCGACTAGAAATTTTATTCTAATTACCAGCTGTGGACTTCTGGTTAGTATTAGTATAATAAAAAAGAACTGTAATAGACTCTTACAATAATATATTTATTGATTCAAAATTCATGAATCGCCAAATATTCGCCAAATAATAATAATAATAATAGCCAAATATTCCACTTCTTTACTATCTATAGAGACTCTCTGATTTTTTAATCATTTCACACCAAGCAAGGCGATAAAGCCACTAAGGCTCAAATGATTACTGAGTGTTAGAGAATATGAGAAGAAAAAACACTATTAAGGAGAGAGAACATTCAAAGAACAAGAATCATGAAAACAGTGGATAGTGATTGACATTACATTTAAATCGCTGCCTAATGTCTTCTTGATTACTCTTCTATTCTTCTCGCTCCCTATTATTTTCTCTTTTTTGTTTCTTGTTCTTCAACCCTCAGTAACACCTTGTGTCTTACGGTCTTTACTGCTTTGCATGGCGTGACATAATTTAAAAAATAGCCGCCATTAATACATTTTGTGGTTGGTATACTCGAGAGCATATGCGGGTATCTATCTGCCACGCAGGATACCTTGGAAAGTGCAGGTAGCGGCTCTGTTTGCAGAACAATTAACTCATAGATGAAGTGACGTCTTAAGGTTACAGAAATGTGACTCTGCAGAAGGATGCTGAGAATACCAATGGGCTGAATTAATATGCTGAGAACGTAATGTGTCTCTAATCTGCAGACAGGTTGTGAGATATAATCCACTTCACACGCTCGAAATATGTAAGAGTCAGAGAGGCTATCAAACAATCATGGGGTTTGAGTAAATAATATATAGTCGTTAGGGTTAGAAGTGACCATCGGTCGTAAAATCATAGCCTCCCTTAGTAAACATTGGATATGAAATGAACTTACTTCAACTTTGGCTTCAACTTTGCATATTAGACGCAGGCTGATTCTGAATACAAATGCGTCTCATATACCGTTCTTTACTTTCTTTTGGTGTGCAGTGTTCTTTCAGGACGTAGGCGATCATGGCTCTCCGCCTCCCCCTATCTCTTGTAGCTCTCAATAAATTTCGTGCCTCTGCCAACTCCTCCAGACCACGTTCTGTCATCCACTGGCTTAAGCCCGCCAGGTATGTCATGCGTTGCTTTCTTTGTCTTTTTTCCTTCTGTTCAAC